CTCAACAATCTGTGCATTAGATTTAGTTGACTTCTCTAAACCGAGCACAAACGAATTCATTTAAATCGAAATTGTTAGAAATTATCATATCTTTTTTAAGACTACATAAGCCAATCAAAAACGTGGACATGTTGGAAATGTGGGTTTCATTATAAAACCTTAAGCTGCCAGTTGAAAATTCAGTTTAAATGATAAAATGATATGAGACACAGTTACCTTTATGTCTCCCATTAAAATTCCTCCATAAATTTTTTTTATAGATCTACAACTGATTGCTGCAAGGATATGGTGGAGTAGATTTCCTACTCCATTTACAACCCACAATAATGCAAACTGCATGTTATCAAATTTCATTGCTTTTTGTGACTAATGGTTGACTAATACAACAAAAAGGCTCTTATTCATACAAAAGTTGCCTAGAAATAAATTATAGATGAACACGTAATCGAAAACATTGTTAATAATAACTAGGAGTTTTTATTCAATCCACAAAGTTCAAATAGTTTTTTTAAAGCCTTTCGTTTGTTTAAACTCGTTTTTCTCAGAACTACTTTTTTTGAGATTGGTTGACATGATATTTCAAGTTCTACTAACCCGATTAATTTGAAGTTTGGTATTTATCTTGTTTATACTACTACTTATAATTTTAATTATAAGTCTTTTAATAATATTCAAAATGGTCGAAAAAATTGGTTAAAAAACATTTTTTTTTCAAGTTGTCGCCGTTTTGTTATTTTTAATTACTCCACTCCACTGGCCTGTAACTCGGCGTATAATAGGGTTTTTTTGGTTCTTAAATTGTCAATGAAAAACATATACAAAATTTTATATTAAAAATGTTTTTCATTTGTTTTTTATCATGCTTGAAAAAATGTCTAAAATTCAGGCTTCTAGACCAGAATACCCCCTAAAGAATATATTTGCTTATATATCGTTATTTGTTAAAGACACAAATATAAATTTAGTAAACAACGAAATTGTGTCCAAAAATAAATACAACATTTTGCGTAGTTCGGGCAAAGTTCTTACCCAACTCATGTTTGCCAGAGTATTCATATGTGGATACGTATACGTATGGTACACACATGTGTATGTACATAATAGGCTCACTCTAAAATATTTTTTAATCATTGAAGAGAAGGAACTAATCAAAACAATTATAAATTTAAAGAGGTCTTCCCTAAAAATCATTGCCTTTTTCTCTATAAATGTTGCAGAATGAGTTTCTTTTTGGTTGATTGTTGGTTTAATTTTTTAAATATTGTTGTTTATTTATAAAAGCTTAGAGAAGAAAAGAGTATGATTTCGGATGTATCCATCCATCTGCTTTAAAATTATCATCAATGCGCGAAATATTTGATTCTCTCATTTCGCAACCACTCTCTAGAACTATTTATTTATACGTTTTTTGGGGGTTTTTGGGGGCTTGTCGCCCGCTGAGCGCGAATTTAGTGTTCGGCATATTTATTAAACAAATTTAGCACGAATACAGTAAAAGGTTAAAAGATAAAAATGTTCATATGTGCTGATGGTTTTATGGGCTTCTCAAGAGGCAACACTTGTTTGTAGCTTCTTATCAGTAAAGGTGAAATCTATGTACATATACGTTTGATAGCTGTTTTGCAGCTCATGCGTTTTATCAAGAACCATAAACTATTTGCGGAAAATACGCATAAGAAATCATCCAAATAATTTTTAGCGAATCAAGAATCCGATATTTTTAATCTCAGATTACGATTAGCCCACTTCAGTGGGAGCATCAGAAGCGCGAACAACATTTTTGCAATACTAACGATGACGCAGCTCGAAAAAAATGAACTCTAACGATGACTTGGCTAAAAATATATAAAACTTACACCGGGGCCTGTTTTCCCCCACCCAGGGAGAGTGCGAGTGAGGCAGCAGTAGTGTGCGACAGGGATAGCAAGCGATGGGGCGAGAAAGTTTTATGTCCGAAATGATAGCAAACGAGTATAATGCTTTTATTTACCTTTTTTTTTTATTTGTTGGGGTTTCAGTGTATTTCTTGTTCGTGGAGCTGGAAAAACAACAGCATTAACCTATGATAAAACAGCAAAAGCACACCCATACACAAAGAGATAAGAACTTTTGGCAGTTATTACCAACGCGCTGTTTCTTTACTTAAACTTCTCTTGGTCGAATGCCTTCTCCTATTTTGAGTTGGATTTTCAAGCGGTGAGGATATATTTCAGGTCTATATCAGGTGTCGATCGGAATTGTCGGACTGCCGTGATTAACTGTCTGAGAATCTGTAAGCAAACTGGGAAATTTGCTGTTTGGAGTGCAATCATGAGTCTATTAAATGTTTGCCAATCAATTAACAGAAAGAGAATTTCCAGTAGATGATAACTTATAAGCCCTCTCCCCTCGCTTTGAATTAATCACAGTTCTTCTTTAACGTAATTAATTAAAGGAAATATACCTGTAAAATATATACTTAACTATAAAAACTATATCTTGATGTTAGAATCCAATAAATACTCTTCTCTATTTTATGGAAATCCAAAATGCATACCAGGTGTTTAAAAGTGGTATAGATCTATTTGACTTTGGATACGGTTATTTATATTTTCCTACCATTTTACAAAATCACATTAACTGGAAGATTATAATTAATATATAAATAAGTTAACTGCCAAGTATGTTCTAAAAGATAATAAAACGACGTTAACAATTGAAACAAAATAACAATATATATAGCATAATAAATATATACATTTTTTTTAGATACACTTTTCTTCTAATACTAAATTTAGCAATAGTGTTTGGGGATATTTAGAAAAACAGATAAATATGGGATTTAAAGGCTAATGCCTAAAAATGCTTGCTTTTGTAACGTTATTGTTTGTAAACACATTGTACGAGCACTTTTATTGTTTTTTATTAAAAGTAACTACTATTTGCCGCCTCTTCCTCTTTTACGTTTTACAAGTATTTCTAGTTTCTCTCTTTCTCCGTCTCCCCAAATGATTTTCTCATACACACACGCGATTCCTCATAACGATGTTCAAATTAAAGCCGGCTTTTTTTCTACACATTTTATTTATTTATTTGTTTATTCGTTTGCCCGATGTCGTCGTTGATGTTGTTGTTGTTTTTCTCCACCAAGTGAATTTCTATCTCTGCGTCTGCGTCTGTATTTGTGAGAGCTCCAAGTCTGGTTTTTGGGGAGAGAGAGCGAGATATGCAAACACAGTTGAATTGATTTAAGCGTCGATTAACGCACACACTCGCCTTCAGCGCACAGTGGAAATGGGTGTTAAAAATAAATTTGGAAGTCACAGAACAGTAAAAACATGGATTATAGAAATTAAACTAAAAAGTAAATTATTTAGTATTGAATTAATACTTATTCATTAATGCTATGTGTAGTTCATTGAAGTCCCACTTATTAAAAATATGATTTATTGAAAAACTTATTTCCGACTCAAAAATTATTTTTTTTCAACTTTCTAAGAAATTTTCTTTTAATGTTTGTTATTGTAAGATCTCAAAAAATATAGTAACATAAACTTTTTTTAATAAACTATCCACACAAACATCAAACACTTTTTTGTGTTCTAATCAACTTAATTTGAAAAATAGAAATAGACTACGACTGGGACTTTATTTTAAACGGAGGAAAGCCAGTTTAAAAACTTAAATTCATGCACAGTTTTCTACGAATAACCATTTAAAAAAAGAACATGCAATTAAAATAAATATACAATATTCTGGTTGTAAATTAACTAGTTTTGAGCTTTCCCAACCCACTGTGCAGCGGCAGAGAGAGCGAGCAAGAGAGGTGCAAAGACAACTTACGATACGACGACTGAAAAATGTCGGGTCGTGTGTTTTTTCTTTAATCAGTTGCATTAAAATGGTGCGCAAGTCCGGTAGAGTTAAAATTTCTAGTCGCGATCGCGTCGCCGTTGGTAACATTCTGTTGCGTGGCAAAGTGGGCGGTGGGCGGGTCGCTGTTGCAGCAGCGGCGGCAGAGGCAGCGGCAGCGGGACGACGTCGACGCAGGCGCGACAGCAGCGCCAGTCGCACTGCCTCAAGTGATGGTCTGTTGTTGTTGTTGTTGTTATTATTGTTTTTGCCATTTCTGTTTGTTGCTATTGCGCGATTTTTTACAAAACCCCAACTAAATGACCCCAGTATCGTACGTCGCACAGCTGCGGTAAAAATAAAAGCCCACCGAATATAATCTTTTTAGTACTGATATGGTAGGGCAGATTTTATCCCTTGATTTTCCTTGTTTTTTTTTTTTAATTATTTTTATTTGATTTTTGCGAATTATACATTTTTGATTTTTGTTAGAAGATTAAAAATTTTGTAAGTAAATAAGATTTGTATTTATAAATATTTATTTGTCTACAAATTAAATTAAATTGTTTTAAGCCGTCATGAACTTAAAATTATTCAAATTTACATATAATAATATTTATTTTATTGCCTTGAAAATTACAAGTCTTACAAGAAGAAGAATGAACAATAAAAATACCAAATATTTAAAATAAAAGTTTTATGTAAATTGTTTGGTAGTGGTATTATTGTGTCCGTAGATATTTGTGTAAAAATTTGTGCCAATGCATTGGCTTTAATTGCCGTTTTTGTGCAAATTTGCTTGTGCAGTTTAAACAGCATATCCAATAGATGTCAAACTACAGAGAGGAATTTACGTAGGCTCAAGCAACGGTAAAACTGTGCGTGTTTCCAGCCCCTGAGCCTACAAAACTGTGGTACTCAGCATGACGAAACACTTCTTTGAAAAACAAAAAAAGAAAATAAACTAAACACATATCTCAGCAGTCAACCTTTTTTATAGATTATTGATAGATTATTGTTAAAAGGTAAGGAAAGAAAAAAGTGTGAGTTAAAGTGGTTGTCGGTAAATAGGACTATGTATATTAGGTTACTATTTTAAAATTTAGAAAAATGTTTGCTGATTCTCGTACGAACTTCCACTTACTCCGTATTTTTTTTTTTTTTTGCAGAATCGGAGAGCCATATAATGCACGCGGATGCCCTGGCCTCTGGCTATCCGGCTGCCTCGCAGCCCCACAGTCCGATCGGCCACGCCCTCAGTCCCAATGGCGTTGGATTGGGATTGAGCAATAGTAGCAACCAGAGCAGCGAAAACTTTGCGCTCTGCAACGGAAACGGAAACGGCAATGCGGGCAGCGCAGGAGGCGGAAGTGCCAGCAGTGGCAGCAATAACAACAACAGCATGTTCTCGCCCAACAACAACCTAAGCGGAAGCGGAAGTGGCAGCAGTCAGCAGCAATTGCAGCAACAACAACAGCAACAGCAACAACAATCGCCCACCGTCTGCGCCATTTGCGGAGATCGAGCCACGGGGAAACATTACGGCGCCTCGAGCTGTGATGGCTGCAAAGGATTCTTCAGACGGAGTGTCCGGAAGAACCATCAGTACACATGCAGGTAGGTTAAAAAAATATTCTAATTTTTGTTAGGGAAAGAATGCAATTAATTGTCAAGCATAGAAATAATTTTGAGTAATTGTGGGGAACAAATAATAATCAGAGTAGTGCTAAAGTTAACCCCAAATGGTAAAATACATAATAGAGCTTAGGATCAAGTATTTATACCATTTTCTGGTAGTTAAGTTTTCTTATTACTGCTTATAGCCATAAAACCAGTAACACCGGGAAGTATCATGAACTTTGACAGGATACAAATCGTGTAAAGGAACTTAAAAAGGAATTTATCTTTATCTTTTTTAAAATTTATAAATAAAGCACAACATGCTGGAAACACTTCAGGAGTTTACAGCTTAACGAATTTGTCAGTAAAAAGATTTCAGTTATATTAATAACTTCCGTACACAAAATTTAATGTAAATTGAAAGAACTATTTTTATGTAAGCTTTTCATGGAGGTTATTGTGAATTCTTTTGGAAGAATGCTAGTTAGAGAAATCAAATGCTCTTGTTTAATTCCATTCCCTACTCAACTCCGCTTTTCTTTGGCAGATTCTCGCGGAACTGCGTGGTGGACAAGGACAAGCGGAATCAGTGCCGCTACTGCCGGCTGAGGAAGTGCTTCAAGGCGGGCATGAAGAAGGAGGCGGTTCAGAATGAACGGGATCGGATCAGTTGCCGACGCACCTCCAATGACGACCCGGATCCGGGTAACGGGCTGTCCGTGATCTCACTGGTCAAGGCTGAGAACGAGTCGCGTCAGTCGAAGGCAGGCGCTGCCATGGAGCCAAACATCAACGAGGATCTCTCCACCAAGCAGTTCGCCAGCATTAACGACGTCTGCGAGTCGATGAAGCAACAACTGCTGACCCTGGTGGAGTGGGCCAAGCAAATACCGGCCTTCAACGAGCTGCAGCTGGACGACCAAGTGGCTCTGTTGCGGGCCCATGCCGGTGAGCACCTGCTCCTCGGTCTGTCGCGTCGCTCGATGCACCTTAAGGATGTCCTGCTGCTGAGCAACAACTGCGTGATAACCAGACACTGTCCAGGTGGGTTTCTATTTAAATAACAAGCTTAAATTAAAGAAAATTAAATAAAAATTTCCTAATTTTCCCTTGCAGATCCCCTTGTTTCACCCAATTTGGATATCTCGCGAATCGGCGCCCGCATTATTGATGAATTGGTGACGGTCATGAAGGATGTGGGCATCGATGACACAGAATTCGCCTGTATTAAGGCCCTGGTCTTCTTCGATCCCAGTGAGTTTTTAGCAAAATTTAGCCGAGAGAACATTTTAGTTATTTTACAATAAACCATCTTTAGATGCCAAGGGCTTAAACGAACCGCATCGCATCAAATCGCTTAGGCATCAGATACTCAATAATCTCGAGGACTACATTTCGGATCGGCAATACGAGTCGCGCGGTCGCTTTGGCGAAATTCTGCTCATCCTGCCAGTTCTGCAGTCTATCACCTGGCAGATGATCGAGCAGATTCAGTTTGCCAAGATCTTTGGTGTGGCCCACATCGATTCGCTGCTTCAGGAAATGCTGCTGGGAGGTAAGTTCACTTAAATGTTGCCAAAGTTATATGTGATTTTTTTTTAAACGATTACATTTTTGCAGGAGAGTTAGCCGACAATCCTCTGCCTCTGTCGCCGCCCAACCAGTCGAATGACTATCAGAGCCCCACCCACACAGGCAACATGGAGGGCGGCAGTCAGGTGAACTCCTCCCTGGACACGCTGGCCGCGTCCGGCGGCCAAAGCGCGCATACTCTCGACCTGGAGGTGCAGCACATCCAGGCTCTGATCGAGGCGAACAGCGCGGACGAATCCTTTCGGGCCTATGCGGCCAGTACGGCGGCAGCTGCCTCGTCCTCCTCCTCTGCACCCGCCTCCGTTGCCCCGGCCGCGATCTCGCCCCCGCTCAACAGCCCCAAGTCACAACAACAACAACAACAGCAGCAACAGCAACAACACCAGCAACATGCGACGCACCACCAGCAACAGCAGCAGCAGGAGAGCTCTTACCTGGACATGCCGGTCAAGCACTACAATGGCAGTCGGTCTGGAGCGCTGCCATCGCAGCACAGTCCCCAGCGGATGCATCCCTACCAAAGAGCGGTCGCCTCGCCGGTCGAAGTGGCCAGCGGTGGTGGCGGCGGTCTGGGTCTCCGCAATCCCGCCGACATTACGCTCAACGAGTACAACCGGAGCGAAGGCAGTAGCGCCGAGGAGTTGCTGCGGCGTACTCCACTCAAGATCCGAGCTACGGAGATGCTCACTGCGCCCGCTGGCTATGGAATGGGTGAGTAGCAAAGTTATTTGATGTTAAGCAATCAATAAAGACTTTTAAGTTACTTACACAACTTCCACACAAAGTCTCTATATGAAAAACTAGCTTGATTGACATTAATTTAAGCAAATTAAAAATATTTTATTTCATTCGGGTTCATTACCTTTACCAAGCATTGCAGTTATGCAAATTTTAAAACCTAAGCATTTCGTATTTTAAGCGCTGTTTTTCCATACTAATTTGTATGCTTTTGTGCCTTTTCAGAACCCTGTCGCATGACGCTGAAACAGGAGCCAGAAACTGGCTACTGAACGGATAATCATAGGTGCAATATGCAGCTTGCAACACAGGAAACCCTTTAAGCACACACCTTACACACATACAGGCCCTCTCTTGCTGTACTCCCCACCAAGTGCTATATAGAGATGAAATTGAAAATGAACTTACTTAATTGTTATGCCTTGAACCATTTTGATACTTTTTATTAGTCCATAAGTAGGTATTTTGGAAATTGTTGCTTAATTTTTAAATGTTAAACGCAGTTGCAATCTATTTTTGGAGTCATATTTTGCTCAAGAAGTTTATTTTATACTTATACATACATACATATATACACCATCTAGCATGTACTGAGTTTGTTGGTTATTTGGTTATCTTATCCTTGTGCGTGGATCACAAAGCATTCATATAGGCCATGCAATATATTGTTTTAGGTTAGGGTGTTGTCTAGATTATGCGCTAAAAGTGTAATATATATATTTAATGCTAAACAAAGAACTATTTTTATATGAGTATGTATAATAATACAAACTATTTCTAAGATGGCTGAATGAATAAACACAAAATTCAAATAAAAATGGGAAAATGTGAACGTAAATAAATTAATGTGTACATTTTTAAAAACAAACTTGCTATTTCGATTTTCTGCTGAATTTTGGATCGACCCTATGGCAGCTTTATGATATCGTACAAACATATTCAAAAGCAGTTTCTGTATTATTATTTCTTGTTTTCTTATCATCTCGACGTGTCTTGTAAACTCGTAGCACTCCGATGTCGCTGGATGGTTGTTGTTTTTGTCAAATGCTTCAAAGATAAACCTAATGTTTTCCGCAAGTGAATGGTTTATACGCCTGAACGGTCTGAAAAGACAACGGAATAGAATTTATCATACTCACATATTTAGCATACTTATCATACTTTGGTACTGAGTTTTTCTATTTTTTGGTTATCTTATCCTTGTTAGTGGATCCCAAGTCTTTAATATATTGTTTTATGTTTGGGTGTTTAACATTTTCTTTTTAATCTTAACGTTATTTATGGTTATCTTACCAAAAAGCTAACTTTTTTGGTATGCAGTTTAGTTATAAATTTCTAAAACAACGAGGTTTAAAAACCAATTAAAAAAAGGTCTGATTTATTATTGTTTATTTTCTTATCCTCTCGACCTGTGCTGTAACCTCGAAGCACAATGATGTCGGACGACGATTGTCGTTTTCGTCGAATGCTTCAAATATGATCCTCGATTTGTAACGTCCACTAAGAGGAGGTCCAATGATATTTTCCGCGCGCAATTTTAAAAGGAATGGATTATACGCCAGAACAGTCTGAAAAAAGAAGGCATTTCGTAGCGAAATATCAGCACATAATTTATCATACCCACATCTTTGGTTATCAGGCACTTTTCCTTTATTTCCTCCTTGTTCAAAAGGTTTTGGAACCATGCTTGGTTCCAGTAGGAATTCTTGTCGAAAATAGCGGTGCACAAGTCCCGTGTGAGTACGTTGAACACTGTTGGTTCCCAGGTACCACGATTAAAGTGGAAAACGCTCACCCTGGCCTGAAAGTTCATATAACCTTGACAAAGGATACTTTTTATTCAAGAAGGATGGCATTTACTTGTAGGCGATCTGTTCTCGGAAAATTCCATAATGTTGTGGCGTTTCCCGATACGGTAATGCCTTCGGGAACCAGATCCACCATGAAGTTTCCCGTGTAAAAGGCTTCCTCCATGGCAATGGAACCGGGTGGGCCGTCCGTGCAGGGCTGAAATGAGTCCTCAGGGATTGCCATGTAGTCTGTGGCCCAAATTCGGGACATGGACACTATTAGAACCAGAAAAATTTTAAACATTTTTGCATGCCAACGGATCGTGCAGCCAACTTATATAGCAAATAAATAGAGGAGGTGGAATTTAAGGTAATTACAACTGGTTAACATTTAAATGTTCGAAGGCCCAGATATCATCGCGCATGCGACAATGTACAAACTGAAAAATCTAGCTATAATAATTATTTACCTGCTGAAATTTAACAAATTGGTTTAATTAGCACTTGAAAATAAAAAAAAATGTATAAAAAAATTAAGGAATGTGGAAAATTAATATATGTATTTATATTGAATATTTCGATCTGCTTAGTTTTGACACATTTTTTGTTTAACAAAAATCAATTCAGAAAGCCAAAGCTTTTATAGACTTGCAGATATAACAAAAATGTAATAAAACCAAAAATTTTTTACTATTTGCACTATTGGGTTTTCAAACGACAAAGTTATTATATTTTTAAAACTATTTTCCGATAGTTACTACAAATTCATTAAAATAATAACACCCTTTAAAAGTTAATCAGGTTTATCAAAAAGTTGCAAAACAATGAACACGGCTAATATAAATGAAGACAAATATGCTGTTTTTTCAACATATGTTATTTAATTATTCCCTTACATCTTCGACTTTAAGCAAAAATAACTGTGATGAATAATTATAAAAATCAAGCAATTTAATTAACTGAATTGAATAGTTATAACAAATCATTTGTCTCCAAAATCTATTTATACAAATCTAGTTTAGTCCATACTAAAAATCTTTTTTCGAATCTCAAAATTTCAAACTTTAACCAAGCGGTTAAAGGTTAAAATAAAATTAAGTAAAAGCATTTCTTTTAAAAATTAAAACTCAATGTAGTTCCCAACTTTAAAAAGATCCTTGGCTCAACAAAATGCAATCCCAATAACAGTGTACAAAGACTACTTAACGTTTATTTATCAATATTGCTAATGCCCGTTTTCTCGACCTGGGCGAGGAGTTCCTGGAGCTTGTTGTCGAAGAGTTCGCATCGGATGGGCATCTCCAGCGAGTAGAACGGATTCTTGAGGACGTAGTCCGAGTACAACTCGTACACCTTGCGCAGCAGCAGATCGATGCCGTTGAGACCCGTTTCTGAGATGACGATGAACTTGATCCCGGTCAGCGTTTGGAAGCAGTGCAACGTGAAGGTGTCCGCCTCCAGGAGTTCGATGCCGGAACTCTTGGGCTCCGGACTCAGTTGGCTGGCGATGGCGAACAGAGGGTAGAACATGCTGGCCAGGAAGATCTTCTCGTTGGTGGTCATCTTTGGCCGGCTGAACTTCAGGTTGATGGGATAGTTCTCTGGTGACTCCAGCGTCGTCCTCACATCACGTCCATCGTCCAGAGTGACTCCATTGACGGGCATACCATTCACCGCCACCAGGACATGGCCCACTATACAAAAGCTTAAGGTCAGCCGATCGAAGTACTGAAGTTTCCAGACACACCCACCATTTATTCCATCCTTTCGGTTGAACGACACCGATACCTTCTTGGAATCATAGTCCAGCACCAAGTCCAGAGGGTATGTGAAGGTCTTCTCGTGCTCGATGCGCGGCACATTGTTGTCCAGGTTGAATATAAGGCCACCCGATTTACTAACTATATAGACGCCATATATAATCATTGCTAACTATGGCAAAATCTGTGTTTTTGGGAATGTTTTTATGTGCGTATTAGTGATGACAATGCCAGCCAAACAGCTGTTCGCCCAGGAACCAGCTCATTTTCACAAAATAACCGCTTTTTTAGTTCCGGATCCGGTTCCCCGAAAATAAATGCATGTTAACATACAATTTGGATTTAACAGAGAGCAAACTGAGAGGAATTACACTTTCGAAATGTAATTAAATTGCCAAAAACATTTGAATTCAAAATGAAATTAATGCAAGCAATTATTATCATTTTTGAACAACTAATTACTGAGTAATTCTTTAATTTTTCCATTTCTAAATACTTGAGATTAGATCTTGCTATATAACAATGTGCAGCCAATTGTTATTGTTAATTTCAATAAATAAAAATTAACATTTCGATTAACATTCAGCGACCAGGGCGGGAAGAACTATCGTATTCCTACCCTTGATTGAACTGGTTCGGGAACGGGAACTGGAATTACCGCTGTCGAGCCGAGGTGAACTGGTTCTCAGGCGAACAGCTGGTTGGCATTAGGATTAAAAATAAACATAATTGATTTTCTGCCCGAAAGTATACGTAAACGCGTAGGCGCCTCCCCACCTGGCATCCGTGCACCCGTTTGACCGACTTCTAGACTCTCCAAAGCGATGGGATCCGACGACCAGAATGCCGGGGACAGGATCCAAAAGGGTTTCCAGATCAACTACATGATACTGCGGGACGCCGACAGCGGAAAGATAATTTGGCAGGAGAACAAGGACTTCTCGGCACCGGATCTGGAGCACGAGGCGCGGGTGCCGGTCAAGATACTGGATATGCGGGCCGTTTCCCGTGAGATCAACTTCAGCACCATTGAGCCCATGGAGAACTTTCGGCTCGACCAGAAGGTGCTCTTCAAGGGCCGCATTATGGAGGAGTGGTTCTTCGAGATGGGATTCGTGGGCGCCAGTACCACCAACACCTGGCAGTCGACGATCGAGGCGGCCCCCGAGTCCCAGATGATGCCCGCCAAGGTCTTAAATGGCAATGTGACGATCCAAACCAGTTTCTACGACAACGAGACACTCATCACCAAATCGGTTGTGCGCCTGTACTACATTTAGGCAATATGTGAGTCATCTGGTGGTCGTGACCAGGTGCCAGGTGTTCCCATCCATCCACTTACCCACTCACCCACTCACCCACGCCTTCTGGATCTTTTTCAAGATGTTCTCTACAGAAAAAAACCTACTTCGCTTTAGAGTACTTCTGCATTTCAATGCAATTGTTTGCGCGTTTATGAACTAGTTGTAGCCTAATGCATTTTAATCTAATTTTATATTTACCACATTAATTTATTAATAAAAATTAACAAATGTAATGCAGATATATGACGGAATGTCAACTTTCAAACGCAACAAGCATGCTTATGTACAAATCTTTTGAAGACTTTTGAAAATTGACTAAAAATAGATCAGAAATTTGTGTCATTTAAGATAATATGTATCTATAGATCTCTGTACCACTTGCAATCAATCCTGAAGTCTACTTAAATCTGTTGATCTTGTATGAGAAATGTATACAACGTATCATAACTTGAGAAAACAGTTGGATTTGTGCTCTGCTCATTTAACGAAGAAAGTACTCTAAACCATAAAAGTTGTATTAGATTTAGCCTAGTTGTACGAGAATTGTCAGCAAATATAAGCAGATGTTATAAGAAAATTGAAGAGTCAGTTTCTCTTGCATGACAATGTGAAATTTGCAATCTTTTTTCGTTTAGCTTACCCAAAAAGTATTAAATTATTTCAAATGTAACCGAGTCATGAAGTCGAATCGATACAACAGAATTTAACATACTGCTATATCTCAGCTAATATAGATACTCCTTCATTAGGAGAAAATGCCTTTAGGGTCAATCATAGAACAGGTTGTGTCTGGCTCTCTTTTACTTTCATGCCAACGAGCATAATCCCATCCAGATCGCCGTCTTGCCTTTTGGCTACACTCCGCCAAAGTTCGCATTTAGATTGGCATCGCTGAATATTCAACGATTGGAATCGCGAAAAGTGGCTATCAAGTTAAGAGGAAGAGTTGGACAGAGTGTTGACT